CAACCTGAATACCACGGAATCGCATCACTGCTCCAAGTAGCCTGGCTTCTTTGGTCCATCCACAAATAGCCTATTGAACAAACCCTAAAACAACGCAGCAATTGCGAAACTCGGCCTTGTTTGAGGCAAACCTACATGCAAACCTTGATTCTGCCACTCTGGATTGCTTTTAGTTCTTTTATATTTCTGAAATGGGTGAAGTTAATGACGGCTTAAGTACTCGTGAAAGAGTTTGCTGGGTGGACTACTGCACACATTGGATGCACATATTAGTAGCGGCAAGTTATAGTATGTGAATTGAACATAGTTGGTCTTGTATAATCTTGGAATAATGCAAAAAGCCATTTTTTTCCTACTCATAGGTACATCATCATTACAGCGAATCCTTTGTTTTGAGTGCTGTCATCGCAAATCTTCAAAAGTTTACAAGCATCCTTCTGGTAATGTTGCTTTCTTATTTTCAAACGACTAATCCCCATTCTTTAATAATGTGTACTTTGTCTCTAAATATCCATCCATGGTAAGCAGTTTAACAGTAATCTCTAAGAGGTAGATGGGTCACCTCACGTGTTTTCCGAAGGATTTAAATTCGACTCGATTGAAATTCACTCAGGTTTTAAGTTCGTTGCTTTTCTCGCATCGACTTCTAGAGACAGCATTATCAACTTCGAGTCTCTATATCACTTACCAAACCAGTCTTACTTACTTGCTGCGCACCTTTTTAGATTTATGCTCTAACTGGGTAAGCCCCGCATTGCCCACTTGTCGTTATAACTTATTGTTTATAGTTTAGAATGTTTTTTAAAGGTTTATTTTTCTGATCTTCCTTTTGATCCGCAAGTTATCGACATTGGTGTGTGTTTGCCTGAGCAAGAATCAGGACTCAGTAAAAAATCACTTTTACACGTATTGGTGGTCTTTCCTTGTGGTCAGCTATATTTTGAGCAAATTGAGCGATAACGTGGCCGCCTAGCATGCGGAACTACTCTGGAGTTTGTGCCGCTATGCAACGTTGACTGTAGACGTTATGGCTTCGCTAGAATTTGGCTTGTTTCCAGGAATGGGGTGAGATTTTGGATCAGATTCGGCGGAGTATCACTTCGGTAGTCATCTGTTTGTGTCCAAGTTGAAAGCAAATACAGGTCTCCTCGTGACTTACCCACTCAATGGGGTTGGTGGACTAATGTGTAGGCAAAAGATTGGATGCCAACATAATGCACGAATAACAGCCTGTGATTAGACGGGCATGCGAGTCAGCGCGCAAGATGTGAAGCTCTAGTCGAAATGCCAAACTCCCATGCAATTCATTTTTGGGTAATTATTGGCTTTCACAAGTCACACGAGCACATTCCAGGCCAAAGCAAAGTCGAGAGGTAAACCGTCGTACTGCCAAGAGTGCCGGTCACAGCCAAGTTGGCTACAGTAAACTTCTCTTCAAATAAGGTGCTCCTAACTACTGATTAGTCACATAAGTTATCTTGAAATGGTCTTAGATGTTATCTTTGTTTAGGTTCATCGCGATTTGTCCCCGAATTGAATCATTACATTATTATCGTTTCCTAGAGGTCTTGAGGATTATGGATAACCCATCTGTTAATCAAGATTCTGGCGAGGTTTCAAGTCCTTTACATTGTCGTCTATTCTGGACACGATTGTTGTAATATTGCGTGTAGTTTTAGCGGTAGATTCTAACCTCTGATTTGTTCATTTGCTTAACATTGGTTGGGTTTTGGACATCGATGATTAAGAATACTAACTCCCATACCTCTAAATCCAGCCGTGTGCAATTACTGTTATTATTCGGCAATCAGCTTTTACTCCTTTGTTGCCTCTGCCTCCTTTTGCTATCCCGATTGAGCTATTCAGGTGTGTTTGAGTGATCTGTGCTGCTTACAATGACAGGCAATGGTGAAATTCACTCATCACATGGTTTCGTGTAAAAATATTAGTCGCTTTTTGCAGACGATACGTCTAGTGTGACAGTCACAGCATCGTTGTGTTTGAGATGCCTACTCAACCCTGTCACCATGCTGGGCATTTTCGAATAGCGCTCAATAAAGTTAAAGTGGGTGAAATGTGAATGGCTATCGCAGGAACATCAAGAAGAGCTGGTAAAAAGCGGCCCATCGGTTTTTGATGCGCCCTCATCCCGGTCGAGCCCTTACTGGGGCTGTGTGATTCAGGAACATGCATCCTTCAAAATATTAGCTTTTGCAGCTATTTCCGAAGAATCTAAAGCATGTGACCAAACTGGAAATCGGCACCACGAATGACCTTCAGAAAAGGGCGCACTGTTGCTTGCAGACTAATGAAAGGTTTCCTTGTATAATAAATAAAGTAACTGTTGTGGTTCAGTTATTGTTTTGTAGCCGAAAGCTACAATCAAGCCCATGTATTCAGGTTACCGCCTTGAAAACTTTCCAAAGTTTCTTACAGTTCATTTCTAACTTTAATTTACCAAATGCCCCAGCGTTGATGTGCGGTTTTGGAGATACCGACTGTGGTTTCCCTCGTTTTCCTTTCATCTTAATTTTGGCGCCATTCCGAAGCAGTCAGAAGATCCGCGTTTTTGAGCTCACTCCCTCCAACCTCCCCCCTCCCCATGCCAGACGTGAGAGTGGCTGTGTGTGTTGGCCGGCCCTATTTAACCCACCCTCTCTTAGCCTTCGCTCTGGATTAGACTCATTTGCTAATAATGCAACGCAAGCGAGCACAGCTCTTGACACGTACATTTTTCCCAGCGAAGGCAAAGCCTCCACCTCGGAAGCGTTAACGAACCACCGACTTGCATCTCGCGTCCTCGCATTTAAGGTGCGTGTGTATTTTAGAAACATTCGGCGGCAGGTGGAGCGTGCGTATCCAGTCGGACTTACTTGAAGGCCTTAGCGGATCTGATTGTCATGCTCCACCCCATTTCGCCAATACTCACTTGTGAACTGTGGGAGGGTTTTTCCTGCGCTCTGCTCTCCGCACCTACCGAGTCGTTGCAGTTTATCCAGGACTCCGACGAATGGGAGTATGATCTCGTGAGTCACCTGTTTTAAAACATCCTCCCTCTGGAATTTGCCAACAAAATAAAGTGCCAAAGCACTTTCCTTCTTATTTAAACACAGCGTCACTCTTTCCTTCAACCACGTATAGGTTAAATTGTTTGTTTGTGCTAATTTTACCCCACCACATTTGCGTGTCGATGGATAACTCTCGCCATCACCCTCTGGAGCTGTTTTTCTGTTCGTACATAACTCGATTTCTCAACTTATTCAATTTACTGTATCAGCAAACACAGTTGCTAGGATATTCTGCGGATTTCGGTGTGGCTCGTATTTACGTGTCAGAGTTTCTATTAATCGAATGCAGTAAATTTTAAGCATGCTCCCTCAGGTGGAGCATCATTTACCAGCACTTGATCACGCAAATTCGGATTTGATTCCTCAGGTATTAGCTCCGGTTTTGGGGTAGGATTGATGGGTGTGCTGTCTCGCACTGTAAAACGCCCATGTAGAAGCACTCTTGGGAAGGAACTTTGTCAAGGCTTTCCAGGGATCAGGGAATTATGGCAGTTATCAAGTTCGTTGCTTGTAAACCAGAAGAGCCAGTGAGGTTTGTGGGCCATCGAGCCCCATTGATGTGACCTTTGGCTCCCGCTTTGGTGTTCCTCTGTGGTTTTACACCGAAACTCCCGTTTCAGCGTAGGTGGTGACGGCCACACCGGCGACGATGACTGACCCGCCCCGTACACTTCGAGGTCGTAGTTGAGATGGCACATGCGCCTACAGGTCCCTTGCACCCCCGATTTTGCTCCGATTTCATCCGTTAGGTGTTCCCAGCTTGCATTTTGGCGATTTCGTCTGGGATTTGAGCGTACAGTTATGAAACCGACTTGATTCTCAATTTTGCTTAGAGAGTGGTTGCTTTGCTTTGAAAGGATTTAGTGGACCCTGTAAATACTTTTATAACTGTGTCTAGTCTCGCTCCATTTAATATCCCCAGAAATGTCCGAGCGATAACCTATGAAATTGTGTATTCTCACGTCGGGCATTAACCGTAGTTGATTTTACTTTATCTGCCAAACATTCGTATAAATTGCGTCTTGTGTTACACGATATCTTACGCCTACACATTCACAGCTATTTATCGGCTCCATTTTCTTTTGTAGACGAAAAACGTGATGGAACAAAAATTTCCACGGATGGTGGATTCAAACGAGGAAAGCTCCAAAATCGATTCCTAGGAAGTATTTGCGACCCAAGCGAACATTCTCAATAGTAGAATGATGTAATGTAAATATATTACAATTGATAACTAAAATGATGGAGTGTTGATAATACCTCAATTGTACTCAGTACTGTCATAACCTCGACTACTCCTAAGACCTTCAGTCATGAAGTTAACTCCAAAGCACTATTCCTAATGCTAGATGTAACGTAATTGTGATGAGACTTTAGTCTAATTGCATCAGCTTGGATACACGAAACCTGGACGGTAGCCGGTTAATTCTCGTGGTTCACACTTCATGAGAGCAGGGAGTTGTCATTTGACCAGATGGGAGTAGGTGTGTGTGAGAGAGTGATTGGTGGGTACCTACGAGCCCACTGGTAGTGTGGTGGATAAGTTCTGAAGCTATATGACGTGTGTGTGTGGGTGTGTGTGGAAAAATCAGTGCTCAATCGCGTTTGAATACCTATCCCAACAACATATCCTTTAGGCAACAGACGAAAAGTACAGAAGCTATGCTATTTTAATCGCGTGATTCATCCCCGATCATGGCCCAAGTTACTTCATTTGTCTGACATAATGCACTGCCTGCAAAGTCACATTCCAGAACCTAAAAAGTTGCTTACGTCCATTTTGTCGTTTTGTTTTGATTTTCAGTGCATTTAAACTCTCGAATGTCGCTTTGTAAAGTGGGACCAGAGCAGTGGTGGTGTGCGTGGCAATATGGAGGAGTGAGGGTTCGTCTGAGGTTCGTTCGAGGAAGACTGGTCGATGTGGGGTTTTGTAGAGCCTAATCGAGACATACGGCGGAAGTCTTCAGATTTCACTATGAAAGTTAATCTGGTGCCTGGCTCAACTAATTTATCAGCAGAGATTGGTCCTTTTAGCATTGAAAAATGACAAATAGCGTAAATTAGGCTAAGCAGTAAATTATTGTAACGAAGTGCAAGTCGTGAAGAAAATAGCCTTCAAATTGTTGTGTGCTGGGTATATTAAAACCACTTTGTCAGTAATCCTCGGTCTTGCCTCGTTGTAGAACCGCTGGCTCCTGTCTGTCTTTGACCGCGTTGGTTTGTCGAATGACTGCGGGCTTACTCAAAGAGCAGGTCTAGCAGAATGCTGTAAACAATCAAGTACTCTGATGTAAACAATCGCCTTATCAGCTCACTAGTGGCTACAGAACTTGACTTCAACTTCTCGCATTGGCAAGGTTAAGATTGACGCAGGACATCGCGAAGGTCTCATTTAGCTGCCGAACTCATTTGGGAGACTCCACATAATTACACATGAACAATTTGTATGTGAGGACCTGAGGCGACATTTCGGGATGTATTCCAAACGCCACCAGTGGTTTAAAAAAACACAGAAGACATCACATTTTCTGTCCCTAAATCCTGCGTTCCCAAAGTGATTCAACAGTTGCTGCTTCGTTCTGGCAAATGAACCCATGATATCTGATTGTTATTGTGGGACTACCTGTAGAAAGCAAAAAGAGCGCCAATTAGCGCAATTGTCATGAACGCCTCCAAGCAACTGACTGCATGTGAATCATTTTACCGTGTTTTAATAGCGGCTACTTGCTCGAGGTGAAATATTCGCAAGCGACCAAAAAAACAGATAACTTTGGCCACATTTCATGCGGCATGTCCTGCCTCGGGCATATTTACGAAATCCCAACATCTTATTTGGCGAAATCGTAATGAAATTCTATAAGCATCTTTGCGTGTGTAGTGGGCATGCAACTGAGTAGACCGCAACCCCGGAGATGATTGCAACTTAATTAAGCATATCAACAACTTGAGTCTATTACTTACTACGCCCCAATATTGTAGGGAATCGTGTTGATTCACGTTCATCAGCTCTGTCACCCTATTCTCCAACTCGGCTCCAATTTTTACAGCTAGCCCCTCAGTCATGTTCGACTGGCTGCTCATTCACCCTTGCGCATGTACCACCACTACCCTCTTTATCCATCTGACTATTCAGACATTTGTATTTTTATTAGTTCATCCAGACTGCATTGGTCATGCAGCACCCTTAATACACGCGCCGATACAACTTGGTTGAGCTACCTAGTAGACGGTTGTGCTTCACCTTGGGCATCACGTACCGTAATCGGTCTAGATGCAACATGCCATGGCTCTCAACAGTACACAAGTCAGTTAAATGTCTTTAGGCTTTAAATTGGTATCCAAACTTCCCGCAATGAATCTGTCCATCCAATTTCGAAATGTGCTCTCATGCCCGTGTCAAAGCGTCCTCCGGTTTACAGAAGGCGCGGGCCACACGCGCGCAAACAATCGGGTGGTCTCAGACCTCACCAACCAATCACTTGGCTGATTGGATGTGCTGGCGTGATTGCGCTTGCACGTTCACTCGCGTGGCAGTCATACCGCGCTGTCAGCTGATAATACCTGCCGGGAATGTTCGCCTTTCAGAAAGCGCAACTTCGACATCGACTCGTTACCTTGTTAATCCTGGTGGTCCCCTGGGTCGTCGGACATCCACTTGCCCCGGTGACTAGGCCGCAGTCCAGGAATGAGTGTGCACCCGGCTGGTTACCCATACTTTTCGGATGTTTGTTCCTCTTTGCCACGTGGATGTCGAATTGCACGCTTTTGGGCGGTGTTTTTCAGGTCATGGGAGATCCTGGCGTAGTGCGGGTGGCCTACTACTTTGTTGGATCACAAACTATTGCTGCCTTGATCTACGCCACACTTAATCTCCCACCAGGCCTGGTTATTCTTTTTTTTGGTGAGTTATTACAGTTCACTTAACAAGGTTCACTTTGATACGATGGTGGTCGGCTGTAATTAGATAGCGGGAATACACTAGTTTTAACACTAAGTGATTGGATATTTGATAAAAAATAATCCAAGAGGTCCGTTATGCGTATCCGACCACTTCGAGTGGCATTTGTGCACAATTGTATCGCTTTTTGCTCATAGTGAGAGGGATTTCAGAAGTTCGTTGGAAGTCTACAAGTTTTGCCACTCGTAACATCCTCCGTAACCAAAAATGAGTTAAAAGCTGAAGAAAGAAATAATTACGTCTTGGAACTAAGAGCAAAGAATGGTTTTTGATTCAAAATCAAATTACATAATTTTGCAAAAATTAGTTCTTCCCTTTGACGTTCAGAACGACTTAGCTGAATGACTAATTATAAAGCGGCTTGTCAAAACATTGACGCGAAGGTTACGATGATGAAAAAAGGCCCGTCAGCCTGAGGTCGTGTCGCCGAAAACGCCACCAACTCGTCCTCATCGGCGTGTCAGTGACAAATGCATGACAGCGAAGGTTGCCATTGCCAACACACTAGATGTCCCAGCGTGTTTAGTTTGATTAATTTTAACGGATCGATTTCATTCGGCAAACATTCTACGCAACGTTCTCTAAATTACCTTACCAAGCGAAAAGTTGAGAAGGTATTTCAGTCAGGCAGAATCCGAAAAATTCTGTAGAAATTCGTTATCTGAACCACGGCCTAACTTTATCGTTACATGCTTGAAAAATTGTAATTTAAAATAATGATCCACCACGGTAAAATAACTTCCGTTAATTTGCCAACAAGTCAATCATTATGGCTTAAAAAGATCGCCGTTAGCTCGGTAAATTCGTTAAATTGCAATTTTTTGGGACATTGCTAGTGAATGTACATAGGCTGAAATAAATTGGACTTAAAAAGATGTGTTTAATCAGACTTTTTTGATGCCTGGCGTGTGTTCTTAAGGCACTTAGAACTCCTTCTTCTCAACTTTCTCTTTATTAATCAGCATGCAGCGTACTTTCAAGTTAAGTACTTTCTATTAACAAGATAACTGAGCTCTTGAGCCAAAAATTAGAAAAAAAAACACTTCACAAGTGTGTTTGTTTTATTCCTTTAATAGATGACTTGGCAACGCTCAGTGCCCCTTTTAAACTTGGTGTTGCTTAAAACAATTCAGGGTAAAACCATTTGCAGGATTCTTTTGTTCAGACTGAAGAGTGAGCTACTTCTTTCGACAAGAAATGGAAAATTGGATTCTGGATAACAGTCGACGTAGGAAAAACCCCGGATAAGACAATACGACCACCACTACCCTTATTGAAATTTGGTCTTTATCCTAAAATGTTGTTAATTTTAATGGGGTGATATTTCATAGTTCTCCATGGCGAGTTGTAATATCCAATGAATCATAAATACTCAATATTGTTGTGCACAATACAATAGGAAGAGCGCCGCTTTGTCTCCAAAGCCTTCATGTCTGGCTAATCAAATTCGTACCATTCTTTAACATAATAAATATGACCCCATGACGCCAGAATCACTCATGAGGAAAAATAAGGGATTTAGCTGGGAAGTCTCCAGAAATTGTTCCCTCTGACCGTTAATTTCTCAGATCTGCGGGAATCTGCTGCGAAGGCAAAACTAATCTTCTGCACATTCGATTGTGTTGTTTTTTTATATCGTATAATTAGCTGACAATTATTTAAAAGTGCTGTGAGCCAATATGATCTTAAAAAAGATAATTCGAAATAGAAAAAAGATAAAGCAAACCTTTTGCCATGTTGTGTTATACGAGCTTAGTAAAAGTATGAATATTAAAACTGCAAAAAATATTCAGTTGCAGTTGGATCGTGCTCCTGCTCTAGGAATAGATGGAAAATAATTAAATCGACTTCAAAATGGGGATTTAATCGAAGTGGCAGACTTCGCTCTGGGCGATCCGCCGGCATCGATTTTAAGTTTATTTGTATGTTTGTAAAGTAAACACAGCTTACCACTGAGGAGGTTGCTTAGAGCCTGGATGTTGACAAATCGACTGCATTCCACCATTTAATGCCACTTGGATACACTTCAAAACACTATATGTGGATTCTGCAGATTTTGACAGAACGAAAAAAACTGATTCGTATTTTCACATCGATTTATATCGTCACCCGTCAACGAAATAGACATTTTTGGACGTGAAAACTGGAAATGTCTAACAGCATAACAGGGTAAGAAACTTGAAGCATGAAAGTGAAATGGCAGGATCTAGAGTGAAAAACCAATCATATCAACTGCAAACGCTATGATATGTCTGGTGGGATTACATAAGTATGATGTTTAAAAGGCTTTTTCCATGTGGCCTTAAAATAACCGTGGAGATGTATTGTTTGTGGCTCACTCAACTCGATGTTGAAATCCATGCAAGTATGCAAATTTGGTCAATGGAAAAAGTATCATGGTTTAACCACGACAAGGCTTGACCACATATCGGTCAACAGACAAAGTCGCCTCCAGTACCTATCGTATTCCCTTTGATCTTGCCCTCTCAGATTTCCATCCGTTTCATTTCCCTCAAAATTGAACGGCAAAAACTGATTTAAGGGACGCAGTCAAAAGCCACTTAGAGACATTCTTTGAAGCGATACCACTCGTTATTGGTTAAAAACACTTAAATCAGTGTTAAAAGTTGCATTAGCTCCAAAAAATACAACATTATTTTGGTTTTCCTTAGAGACAATATGCTTGAATTGGGATTTACGATGGCGAACCTTAACAACCAATTCAGAATCTGAATTTCGAGTCTCCATACCTTGTTCGTTAATTAATTTAGTTTTTAAATTAACGGCAGGTGATCACTGTTCTGTCATTAGAGACTGCGATTCAGATTCGAAGCAAAGTTTATTCAATGCGTACTAGGACATAAAAATAAACCAAATCTTAAATGTGGAAAACCCAGAGTGACTTCCTCAATGATCCTAACCAGAATACGCCTTTAGAGTTTGCGTAATTGGCTTATGTTCTACTTGAATTTAAAATCCATCTAGATTATTACTAACCTAAGAGACGAGTTTAGCTAAAACGTTGCGTATCCACCATGTAGAAAATTGCTCCACAATAAGACAATTTGGGTAGAGCAACGGGGATTTGTAAACAAATTTTGTAATGCAATTACCCTAGACATTTCACTCAAATAACGGTTAGTCTTTAGTAAATTAATTTAATAATGAAAATTTGCCATCCCTCAATGCTGGATGGCCCCCTGATTCTTGTTGCACCTGATCACAAATCACTTACACTAATGCAAAATAATTCTACTCATTTTGGTACGCATCCACAAGCATTGGTAACTCCGTATTAATTTAATTGCACATCTGATCAATTTAACTTCGAATGATGTATAAAACACGGGGTTGGAAAAACTCGTTTAATGATCAGCGGTCAAACTTATATCTAGTGATTACTGTGCCGTGATCATTTCAGCTGTCGGCACGCAGCCACAACGCAGAGATGTGATTGTTTACAGATTTACATACTACAACTAAAAAATAGTTTTTAATAGGGAAACTTATAGGATTAAAGCTTGGTCAGATTGAATGCTTTGAAGAGTCAAAATCGGTTACCTGCATTCTAATTTGATGAAAATCTCTCCAAGTGAGATTTACAACATGTCCCATTTACTAAGCCTATAAACCACCCATGACTTGGTTCTGCCTGAACGATATTACATATTAAGAGGGAACGATCTGGTGGAACATAAAGATCGCGACGCAACCCCACACACTGCATTTTTCTAAAAGGACCCCTGACAATGCAAATCAGGCTAGTCATTCTGAGGACTTTATTCGGCAAATAAGAGAAGGGTATGTCTCGGGGGAAGTCTTATTCCCATGGTAACAACCTTGGCTACAAAGCCCTCATTGCTTACATTATGTGGTTCTTAAGCAGACTAACCGCAGCTTACTTAAGTGTACTGCAGGAATTTCGCCGAAGCATATTCAGATTTTTCTCCAGAATTTAATGTAAGACAATTGCCTACGGCAGCATTGAATTGTTTCGCAATCGGGAGCACCCCGTGCCTTTTCACCCCGTGCCTTTTCACAAAAATCTTGTATCTATTGAAGCGAAACCAACCCGATTGGGTGGCTTGTAGCACAGATTGCAACGTCTAGTAACGAATAATGATTTAATTAGGGGAAAAAATTGATACTTTCATTTTGATCAACTAGGCTTCCACTAATTTGCTGCCAGCCAGGGTCAAAACAGACCTAAATGCAGCAGCTGTAGTCTCCTTTGATTTCCCATTTGATATTAATTTCTCTAGAGTCGCCCAGGCTTTATGGGGGAGTGAATCCAATCTGTACCCCACAAACTAAATCTTGGCTAAAAACTAATCGATGTCGGAGCGGGGGCAAAATTGTTAATTAAATTTTCACTAAAACTCTGAACGTTTAAAAGTGGCCATTGTTAAGGCAATGCACTTCTTAGGGTAATATTATATCACAAATACGAAATTTGCCTAACGGTACAACGCTGGCGTTAGGGAACCCCACAGCTACAAATAATGGTTCTGATGGCGCATGCTTTGTGTTTTAAATTATTTGTTAATGATTACCCGTTGAAGGCATTGAAATTTTGCTAGGCAGCTGAAGACGTTGAGGTCAAGTGAACGAAGAGGCGAACAGCGTTAGCGCATGTACTAGGTCCTCTGACAAACTTCCAGTTACTAGCACTCTTTTTTGTAGTTTAGAAGCTTTAACCAGACTTAGTCACTGAGATTTGGTGGAAAACAAGGGCTATAACATTGGTAGCAATGAGTAATATCCATTCTAACTAGGCGGCTGCAAACATCCTCGGCCTATTAAATGTACACCATGCACAAGGCATTTTCCCCATATAGACTGTCAGAGACGAAAAATGCATATACAGGGTTTTGTCCCAAAGGTTTTTAGAAATGCATCAGTGCGCAGACTTTATTTATTCCTTCGATTTTCGGTGTCCTGCCACTGATACGTAGTTGTAGGCTTCACAGCTATCCTCTCTGACAAGTTCGATACACAGGTCATGTGTATTCCGTATTTGGTGAGCAATAACTTGGTGATAAAACTTAACAAGGTAAAAGATATTATGGATTTGGCGCTTTTGTTTGCTACACTGTGGGACACGACCGTATGGTGAATCACCACGTCTGCTCAATTGAGAATTCTCATGAGGCCGACTTTGATTATATTGTTTTTTTTAGCTGTTTTTATTACCGTTGTGTATTTAAAACATCCTTCAATGAAATCTTACTTTTGAAATCTCCCCCCCCAGACTACAACAAAATTAATTTACAGACGAAGCAAACTCCCTCTCACGTAGCTTCTCTAGCTCTCAAGTATTTGTGATTTAATTATCGGCAGATCCGTGTTACCTGGTCCAATTCTGCTTTTCCAAACCACTTGATCTGTCGTTGACACAATAGGCAAGTCCAAATTAAGAGAGGACTAAATGGGGGAATGAGTTAGTGTCCGAACCTCTCTATAGTTCATATTTTCAACATAACGTCTCGTCAAAACAGCAAATTCAGCCATACAAAAGAATGGGCCATCAAAAATTAGGGGCAGACGTGCGCAGTTATGTTTGTTATGAAATGGCCTAAATTGAAACGAGCTTGACGCTGAAAATTATCAGTACAAAATTTAATCGATTGAGCTTTATGTGTTGGACATAAACTTTTGCAATCAATCATCAAAATCCTATTTCTTTGGAATAGAAATGATAAGAAAACCAGGAAAACGGATGTGGCACAAAATGAGGCCGTCGCCAATACTTTTTCAAGAAGTGAGTGACAAGGGTCGATTATCTTTAAAGAGCTAGAAATCACACCTAACTAACTCAATCCATTTCGTAAGCAGCTAGAAAGTACAATTAACAAAAAAGTGGCTGAAGTTTCCTAAACCTGCATCACAAAAAATTGTAGGTTTGACTAATTCGACCTGCCAACTGTGCATTTGCCGTTAAAACAGAGGTCGCGAAACCGAAAGCTACTGGGAGCTGTTTTATGCCGTGGGCCCAAAGCAACTTCTCTAGTGTTGAAAGGAGGGTTTGCTGAGGTCGCTTTCAATGCAATGTTTTTATTTGGCAACAATTAAATTTGAGTAAATTAGATTTAGGCTGGGTTTCACATTTGAAAGTGTAGGCAAGTACTTTGGTGGTATGGCTTTGGCCAGTTAATTGCTGTGAGTAAGCTATGCCCCGGTTAACTAACCCGAGGCATCATTGAAGCAATACACACCGGTGAGTGGTGGGACAATTTACCGAGATCGTAGAATATTTGGGATAAAAATATACAAAAAAACCTGAGGTTGATTCGTCTCGTGTAATAAGTTGTAGTAAAGACACGCAGGGTTATTTGGAATTTTATTTTAAAAATGGTCTAAATCACTCATTTTGTGGGCAGAGTGTTTAAGGACTATTGTAAAATACTTGAACACAAGAGATATAAACTGTTAATGCTTAAGCCAGTTAACCGAACTAAGGTCAAATCTGTGACAAACACCAAGGTTCTAGTGAAGTCAAGCAGGCGGAAGCGCGTGTGGTGCCGGAAAGGCGAAGCAGCCTCCCACGGCACGGCTGTCACCGTCGACCACTACTTTGAGTATCGGTGCACGCAACCGATAGCAAGAAGGCGCAAATCAACAAAACGTAAATGGCCCTCGCTATACTCCCTATTATTATTTTACTGTAAATGCGTTTAACACAAGGGTTTCAAGATTCTTGTGGCACCCGTTCCCTTGGCTATGTTAACTTATGGATACACGCCCGAGTATGCAATATAAAGCTGCCTCGGGTCATTTGTTTTTTTTAGCATTCAAAGCGTGTCCGCTGTGTAGGCTTTTTGAAACCGACAATATGGCTGTACTGGCGGAACAACAACTCTTCGCAACAACGGTAAAGCTTTTTGCAACTTCCAACCAGAGACACTAGCCAGTGACAATTTAAACGCTGCTTCGAGACAAAACAAGTAGCCGCTTTGGCATCATAACCTGATGGTTCTACCAACTTTTAGAGCTCGTTCAGGCAACTAATACAATGAAAACCTTTAACTTGAGAAGACATTTTGAGGCCTTAAATAGGCTTTCTGTCAGGAGAAAACTATTTCATATGTTCACGAAAATGCACAAATCGAGAATTTATGAAGTGTGATAGGGAGGAGTTAAAGGCATGTTACATTGATTTAAAAGCGTAAACAAAAGTTTTATTTTAAAAAATGCCAGAGTCAGTGCCCTGTGGTGTTGACGGTGAGAACCGGTCACAAAGGTATTTCTTCCAAAAGCCATTTTGTATGTGGGCGACTCAGCGCTTTGAATTTCAAGCGAGTCCCGCATCGTGATTGCCTACAGTTTGACGCTTTTTTCCCTTGCGCAACAATTTCATAAGCCTGTATCGTGAGATTATCACAGCGATAGTCAAGATATATGAACACACCATCATCCCGTCATATACATGCCGGAAAAGCTCTCACAAGAGTAATGCAGCTTAGTACAGCGCAAAATTGGCTTATTACTCCCGCGTACAATTTATTTTCAGCAGATACTTAAATTCATACAACGCATTAGAGGTACGTTTGAACCCATCATAGCAGCTTGAGAATAGCATTCCAAATATAAATGTTGTTGACATGACTTTGGGTGAAGCCCGCTACTCTATGCCACTTGGAGGTGTCTAGCCGGAGGGCGAAAAATCGGAGAGAATGTCTGTAAGAGGATTTACAGCACGGAGTTGGTTTTGGCACCCGAACAGGGAATGCAAAAGGACGTTAAAAACTGTTTATGAAGGCTTCCATTTGCAATTCGCATTTGGGTTCTCAATCAACTCAACGATTTGTTATTTCGGAAATTAACGCAACGCGGCCTCACACTTTAGAAAATCACTTTCAAATGTGTTTTTGACTTGATCGATGTGATATCGTTCCTTCACACCAGCATTGCACCTGTTGCGGCTACAATTTAAACATTGGTCAATATTAGTACGTTTTACATTCACGAAAGGAATCTGTTTTTTGTCTCTTCAGGGTCGTCGAACGGGAACTCATATCTGGGAATATTTTGTTTCTTTTCGACTTACCTTGACTCACTGTTCTGCAGTTTATCGCTACTGCACTCCTTTTGCTCCGGTCTTGACTCCTACCTGCGACTCTCGCGTTCACGAGACCGTGAAGACACGATGGAAAATGCCAGCGCATCGACAACGCCTTGGCTGAAGGTCGGGACGCCATGGTTCGTCGCCGGTCTCCTGGCCACAGCGCAACTCGCAACCGGCGACCGTGACATGGCACGACTCACGGAAGATTGCAAAAACCAAGCCATGGTCGCTTTCACCAACCAGCTCGAGGCTGCTTGCGTAGTCACCGACCCCAACTTTCTGATTTTGCGCACGTTGGTCACATACGCATTGCCACTGATTGGATGCCTTCTACTCACAGGCCTCCAAGTTCGCTGCCTTCGTCAGCTAAAATTCGTCCCTTCTCGACACTCACTGGAGCCCAGTGTCAACTCGACGATTCGGAGAGACGTTACGCTGGAGACACTCGCTCCGATAGCCGAGGGAGGAAAACCAAATACTACCACTAATACCACCAAATACGAAACGGTGCATGAATGCCCTCGACACGGAAGGATCGCCTATGACTCCGAATCCGCAGTGTCAGATGATCGCCGGAACATTGACCACGATAAGCACTTTGCAAATCATGCATCTTCCGTGAACGCAAGCAAGTGGTTCCGAAACTACCGGGGGGAGCAGCTGGCGGTTGCAATCAACATGGTTTCGTGTATCGTCGCAGTCGGCGTGTGGTCACCGCTCATTCTTTCAAGCCTTGCTTACGGCCTTTGTCACACACCAGAAAACACGCAATATGTCAAGCAACCATTGTACCACATTCCTGGAATAGATTTATCAAGCTTTAGACCTGCACGATGTTTCATCCAAGTAGCCGCGTCGAGGCTGGCAGACTTCCGATGGTGGGTGTATGCTAGTACGGGAATGCTTCTGCCAACTGCTCTCTTGGTGATGGACAGAGACCTCCGTAAAGCTTGCTGGCGATCTCTTGGACTCAAAGCTCACTCACTTCCAAGAATAACCTCATTAAAACGTGGCAATTGAGTTTAAAGGTACTCACTTGGGGATACCGTCCACGTCAAATGCTATTTGTGCTCAGTACCTTGGTCCATTATTTGCTTTTCGTGCAGTCGTTGTGAGTAAAATATGATTATTGTACAAATTCATAAAATTCCAGGATCCCTTACTAAAACATCCCATACTTTTAAATTGTGTACCTTAAATACATTGCGTTAAATCAGGCCAGTCTTTCTTGATAACCTCTCATTCACAAAGAACGATACATTAATACCTACTATTTTTTTGTGGGTAAATAGTTCAATTGGTTTAAGGTCGAACGACGAACACGTCGAATTAATGAAAAACCGACGAATCGATTTTACCCGTTTGATACATTAACTGCATTTTTATGGAACAAGACAGCGAATTTATGTTCAAATTGTTCACTCTGTTTTTGCTTATCCAAGGGTCACAAAAGACAAAAAATTTCTGCGACATACCGATTTTGAGAGAGCACCGGATTTTACATGAAGGATTATTTACTACCGTTAAGGTCATAAAAACATTGCACTTAAAAGTCATATCTTGGTGGAAGTAATTCGTAGTTATAGACATTGTCTTCAAGACAATGAAATAGGACGTGGTAGGCTACTCTGAACACTCCTTTAAGAGCTGGACGACCGGCCTAGGTGGGCTACCGTCAAGCAAAATGGCAGTGCCGAGTTCGACGACCGCGTAGAATCGACTTCCAAGTTAAATGATTAATGGTGTGCTGATGACAGAACACGACCTGCAACTCCGTTTGGGCACAACATTAACGATAAGAGACCTACTGATCTACTGGAGTAGAACAACCAGCCGATGTGCCTGCACATAAATGTTCCTCGATTTATTATAATCTTTTCAAAGAACCACTTCTATTTGCAAACTAGCCGATTAGTCAAAGGATTCACAAGTACACACAAGAAATATACAAACTGTATTCATGGAACACTTGAACGCGCAACGAATGTCAAGCTAGAAAGCCTACAAAAAAGGCAGGGATTCGAAGTGAACTAAGGATTGAACAAGGCTCGACCATAGACGTGACTAGAGAGGAGCAGACGATGGACAGCTCATTAAAACGAGTAAATTTCAATGCGTAAGAACTGATTCCGTAATTATTGCATCGATACAAAAGCATTCTTTCAGTGACCCCATCAGTTGGGCACGCATAAAGTACACTGTTATATCGGACTGAATAAAGTGAAACAACTCATTTGTGCCAGAAGGAATTTAAGGATACCCCGTTTCTAAGAGGAAAATGAGTGAGCAAAATGAGTGACAATACAAGCACGATTTTAAGCAGTTCAGCAGGAAATCTGCAATGCGAATTCGCGTGCTGCCTTCATTCCTAATGAGAGCATTCTACATTTGACCTGTTACTACCAATCGCCTATATGAACAAACGGCACAAATAACATAAATTACAACAACGGAACATGGCAATAACCTTATTTCACACTGCAATAATAAGTTAGCCAAGTAATTGAATGAGTACAAAATGCTACCTTGTTTAAACATGGCCAAAATAATGCAGATCTAGAAGTTAGGTTTTATAGAATTCTTCGTGCTCCTGGCTACCGATCGGCTTGATAACTGCCTTGTCTGCAAGACTGACAAGCCATCCGGGTTCGAGGCCGTGGAATATACGCCAAGGCTCCTTTCGAATTGAGAGAAGATCTTTGAGAGGGCTGGAATCAATGCTGACTGGAGTGTAGCCGTACTTTTGGGCAAGCCAGGCCCGAGCATCTGCAATGTCTTCCGGACTCGCCAAGTAGCCGCGGTTCGCGCTGTTGGTGTAGTATTCGAGGGCGTCCTATTCGAAAGAGAATTAGACAACTCACGTCATACCTCACTCAAGCCGTGGTTAGGGTGTTTCATTATCCGCAAAAGCCTGACCATTTCGACTCGCTCAAATGATAACGCACATTTACTAAGACAGATAAGCACCCAAACCACCAATGTAACCGTTTTATTCAAATTCTACAGGCACTATTTACCTTGACCATACACCTGACACCTTATACGCAAAACCCACAAAAAACTTTACATTACAGAAAATTTGCGTCTGATTTCCTTTGTTAAGGTGCCAAGTACATGCACCTCTAGAACATGCCGTAGTAGATGGAAGCGCTGATAAAAGCTACAACATCAAAGAAAATTAACAGCTTTCCAATTCGGCAATCGAGCAAAATCAAACTGGCTTCCAGGCAGAGGTGAAATGATCGATTGACTTGTCAAAAGCTCAATAATGTGTCACGAATTATAAGCTCGCGCAACATTTGGAACAGTTGTTACAAATTTGTTTCTGATCCAAACTTGGCCGCAAATGGTCAAGTGTGATATCATAACCACTTAGAAGAGCCTAAAAAACAACATTTATCAGAACTTTTGAAGTAAGCTGAAGGTCATGATCCAAGAAAGTTTAAAATCTGAGCAGATAACATCTTATTACGTGCAAGAGACACTCGGCTCGGAATAAATTTTTGTCTAAAATATGACTGTGGTGGACAACACGTCTCGAGAAAACAAGTAGGCTGAAAGTTTTGTCACTCCATGAAATGTAAAACGAACTGAGGGACAGGTGATGCGAGTAGGCTCAAGAATATTACAACTCACGTGTGGAGGTTTCTTGCCACGTGGTATAGGAAGCCCCTTCTCAAAGAAGGAGTAAGGATCCGACTTCGCAAGGACCGAAAGCAAATCATAGTAGCGTGTTGTGATGACCCCTCCAGCCCTCTCGACGGCAGCAATAACCGCTTCACTAGCATACTGCACCTCGATATTAATTGACGTCACAAACGAATCCATGCCCTATGCGATCTTTATTAAGAAAAACCACGTCAGCATCATACCTCCTCCGTCAAGTGAAATCCATAATGTCTCTCATTTTCAGCATCCAGCCGAAAAAGGCCGGTATTGCATATTGTCGACATATCAATTGGCTGCGTGGGGTCGATGCGAGCCAGGTCGATCAGGCGCTGAACATCGAGAAGTGAAAGACGGTTGAGAGAGCGCCGAGATCTTAAAGTGACAAGGAGTAAAAAGACAAAACCAAGTTACGTACAAATGGTCCTCATTGTATGGTTCCGTGGGAACAGTTATGTAGAAAGGAGTCCGCTCCTTGAGAGTACCGAGGGGTTGCCAAGCCTGATATTGGCTCATACCTCGGTGACCAAGGCCCCGTTTTTTGCGTTGGAGACCATGGTATTTCTGAAAATAAACGAGCAGGATAGGTTGATGCGCCATGGGGGATATGTAACTGAAAAACTAAAAGGTTTCAACTTTGAATAATCTAATGCGTAGCAAATTCCTATGTCATGGGCAATTTTTGGAATGGCAGAGAGTAAACAAAGCTAAACTGCTTTCCTTTGCGTTGGAATTATTCTGCCACTGTTGCAGATAATAAACAATAAAGCTGACATAGAAAAATTGAAAACAATAGGTCATTTTAGATATTTTAACCAAGAGTAAAATGATCTACCCAAGAAAGTTGAGAAGACGGTGACGCAGGCTCAAGCTCATGTCGAAGTTCGTTAATAGAAATGAGTGAAATCGTCTGTACTCAATAAAAATTGTGGTAGAATTGGAGGTTATCATGCAAAAGTTCTAAAGTGGCAACAGCTAATCATTAGTTGAGCAAACAGGCTTGAAAGAGCCACCATTCGCTATCACGCAGACCATCTCTACTCAGTTTGGAAAGTCAAGCGATAGAAGTAGACCCAGAACACACAAATATTCAATGTCTCAAAAAAAAGATTGGCAGCCTCACCAAAACATCTTGAACTTGGAGCTCAAATCCAGGTTTTTTTGCCGTCAGAATAGGCAAAAAGCAGAATTTTTTATGTGAATACAAGAAAACACCTAACTATAGTTAAACGATGATTACCTAACAACTCAGTTGTATATTTGACCCACAGCTAACAAATAAGGGTCAAACTACACGACTTGTTACGCCTAAAGGCTAGCTACGAAACATTAAAATTTTGGCGAAATCAGACGCCACTATTTCTATAAGAGTAAAGAAATTAAAGCAAATCACGGCAAGCAAAACAAAGGTAAGTGTTAAAACAATCATTTTGGTAGGACGAAGTACTTCGACAGATGTAAATGAACCAGGCGCAAATTCATGGACTACATATAATCCAAATATTTAAAATAAAAGCAAAAGTTTACAGGCGGTTTGCTATATGGGAGGTCCTTGATATTGTAAGCCGAGACCGTCGGATAATTCCTCAGAGCTCGCAGCGCTTTTTCGATGCTTGACATGATAGTGGTTATACGCAGTACTAGCACGACCCGACTACATCTAGGAATGCTGCGCATGAATTATATCCCCTGAAACCATGATTATAAAAAAAAAGACAACATTCAAACATGACAGCGGGGTAGAACTCATTGCTGCGTTTTTGCCGAAAAGGTTTTTTTCTATCTTAAAACATTGTACTTCCAGAATATTGAATAATTCCACTTTGATAACTCTTTGGTATTAATTGCATTTTCAAAAGAAATTTTAAATCGCATCTTTCACCAGCCCTGTAAAAATGCCAGATTTTAACAAGTACATGTTACGTACACGCATAAGTAACATGGCAAAATCATTGTAATTGGCGGATTTTAGAGCATGCAAGTGGTTACGCAAGATAAGAGATATACTTTGGAAATAGCCATGGTTAGAATGGTCATTCATAGTATGGTTTATAATTCCAGGTGTAATTTTGTCCATTTAAAAATTAAATAATCCTTTTCCTAAATACGTACATCAGCAGGTTTCAAAATTTAAAAAAAGAGCAGAATTTCACTGCTGACATTAAACGATACCTAAACCGTGACTTGCAACTCTATTTTGGATTTTCCCATGCGCCTTGTCCGAGTGACTTGTACAATCAAAGTAAAATCAATAAAATTGGTATTTTGTCCCAACACCTTGACAGGAATTCAAACATCGTCCTTACGTACATTTGTATTTCAATTTTTTGGGCAATATCGACAAAGGTCATGCAACAAATTTCCAAATCATTTAAGTTTACAGTCAATTTCACTGTTAATTTATTAGGTTAAGCTATTATTTTGTTAGCATCCACAAGCTCAGTCAAGTTGGTTCATATGTATTTCATCATTCGCGTCGAAAAAAAATCGTTTTATTACTAAATAACGCATTTTTAGAGTCGCAGAATTTGGCATCGACTCCTTGAAATGAGTGCGTATACGTAAAAATCTATTTAGAATGAAAAAGTGGTAACAGCAGAAAGAAATACTTTAAATTTTTTTAGTTCATCAGACCATTGATCATGATCAGAGCCCAATGGCATATCTACGGTAGTAAGAATTGATAAATGAAATTAAGCACACATGAAGAATCTTGCAATGGAATAAATTTAATAACTTAATAAAACCGCCTGTATTTGCTGCAAGAATTTTAGGCATGTTTAAATAAGGGAAATGTTATCAATTATTGGCACTGGACAAAAATATCCATGGACAAAAAATCGAGGAAAAATATGAACCATTCTACTCAAATGAAATAAATCGGAGGGTGGTGTAGCAACTTGTATGGGTACAAACATAGTGGACCACGCTAACCTCAGGCAATCCTCTGTCTCTGCGTTTTAATAGCATGAGAGGAAGTTAGATAGCCAACCATAGACACACGAATGAGGAGAAGCATATAATGCTACAGCTTGGGGTCAAAGGGTTGCCATCTTGATGTTTTGCCACTGGTCGAGAGCCAGCGACGCGCCGTGGTGGCGGCACCACGTGAGAGGTGGTGGGATGGTAGGGTTTCGACAGGAGCACCAGGGTCCGAATATCCAATCATCTCACAAGTTTGTCTTTTTTTTCTCTGGAAGCTAAGCCGGACACGAGCAACCCGGACCAACTATATAAGGAGAATCTTATCAAAATGAAACATAACCTTGATCCCGGAGAATCTTATCATTACTTTTGGACCAATCTATCCCTTTACCTGTTCCTTCGCCCTCTTACCATGTTCAGGAATGTTACAATGAGTGGCCTTGCCAGGGTAGTGGACTCGGATGGATGGTGCCTGACGTGTGGTTCTGGCTTGTGTTTGGTCAGTAAGGCCCGTTCATTAGTACCAGTCTTCTTCATACTAAGTCTCACGTATTCTGCAGTGATGCCTATGACTTTGCTTTTTTTTAAAAAGCCAAATAGGTATTAATAAAAATAACTTAACTTTCATCTAATAAGAGAAAAAATTGTGAAAATGCCATGTTTATCTGGATCGCGGATTGGGCGCATCTTTCGTAATTGATTCTGCTATTTCGCATTCGCTTCAGGATGGGGAGTGAGTGTTTGGTTCCGTTGCAGGGTCCACTTGATTTTTCATGGTCGTCATCACAGAAACTAGCAGTTTTTAAGAAAATTGAAACGTCAAATATCTCTGATAGTACACTTTACGAAGTTCAGCATTATGCATCGGCCAAAAAAAATATTTTTATTCAGAGGCTCATTAGAGCATCGTACGGTTAGTTACTGTTCTAGATGTTAATTTTTTTAGACATTTTTAGAGTTTCTCAAATATGTGGGGATTCCTTTGAGTAAGTCAAAGTAACAGTAATTTACATTGCAGTCTTTTGCGACTAAGTCATCAATATCGTGCTGCGTTGGCTATGTCCTATCAAGAAATTTGTGATTTTCTTGGTTTGTTCTTTTTTCTGTCCTTATGTCTACTATAGATAGTTGTCAGAACTTACCAAATGAACGGCTTTTGTCACTGAGTGCTGATGGTGAACTTGTTAAGACGTATGAACTACTTTGGCATTTAGCTGAAATCGTCCTTCTACAAGTTAGTTTTAGCGCACTTTATTCGAAACGTTTAAGGCCTTTGTTATTTTATGTATTCCACTTTAAGACCTTAGGTCCTGGTAAACTGGCATCTGCACTAACTGAGTGGTATTTCGTCCAATCCCAAGACGCGGTTAACGTCGCACGGAGGTTGCTTGACACACTTAGTGCCCCTGGGAGTGCGTTAAAATCGCATGATGATTTTGAACAAGCTTTCTGGCCAACTGCATTGGCACTCGTTACCCAAGCTAGACCAATGGAGGTGTCCGCTCTGTTGGCGTCACACCCAAAAGCAAATTCCAGCCTTTATAAAGACGTGCGTCAGTTGCTGATTGCTATGCCTCTTCTTGATTCAAATGCATCTACAGAAGGTAAATAACTATATTCCTATTTACGTAACATTAACCAGGGCCTCTACAACATATGCGTTTTAAAATTTAGCTCACTGGACAGAGAGCGGGTCTCCTTTTGAAAAGGCATGGCATTATTGGCAGAGCAGCTGTGGTACTCGCCTTGCAGAGGAAACGCGGAAGCAATCTTCGACGAGGAACTCCGATGTCGATTATCTTGTTCTGATCCTATCGATCTTGGCCGGTCGTCACGATTGTTGGCATGATTCTCGGGTCGTAGCTGCCTGTGGTGACTGGTATTTCCAGTTCGTCGGATGGCTTTTCTATACTCATCATTTCGTGGAAACGTCTTCCCTCAACACCGTTTTGGAGCAATTTAGGCCCACCTTTAACAGAAATTCACTTGAAAACGAAGACATGTGCATTAAACCTGTGAGATACTTTCTCGAGTTTGTAACTCTCAAAAATTTACATGTTAAAACAGGCTTGTCAATTCAAGCTCGTGGAAATGTAATAGGTCCCGCTAACGTGCTCTGTTCACGCTTTTGATTTTCATATGAAACCACACTCACTAATGAGATTGTTCCACGTAATTTTTTTGTTTTGTTTCTTTAACTAAAAATCCAGACAAGATCCAATGTGGGGACTCATAGTATGTTAATCCATTGCAACAATCGCCTCGTGATTGACCAAATTGATCCTGTCTGGGAAGTATAATTAGTTCCGGTTTTCAATTGCTTTTTGCCTTGATATTTTTTAGCACACTACTCAACTACCACGGCCGGTTCTGCACTCAATTTCGATCGCTCAAAATCGTAATTTCAAAATTCTTGTCTTTTAGATAGTCGACGAGGTGATAAAACATATTCTTTCTGAAGACATTCTCTCTGTGGTGTTCGCACTGAGTGAAAAATTTAATAATTGGTGGATGGTTGCTCATTTCGCTAACCTCATCAAGCATCTACTTCCCGACTTTTTTTCTGGCATTGACCCGACGCAGCCATCTTCATTCCGTCCGATTTTAAAACTGGAAGACCCAATGTCTGGTAAGGATATATCTGTTTTCATGTTTTTCTCAAACTATTTCGATAATTTTTTATATTTTAAGTGGCTTCGTTACCCGTTACCATTAGTTAAATTGAGGAAGGCTGATGCTATTCAACTTGGAGGATAGTAATTGGTTTGATCTTCCGTCATCTAGATTTTGTGGCGCAATTGATCGGAAGTGTATCGAGGCTGTAAAATGTACTTGTTTAACGTTTTTACGTTAAGGTCACAATTTAGATTCGACTTTCTTGCAGTGTCAAGAGACCAAATTTGCCCCCATTATGCCCGTTTATTGGGAACAGCGGCTCTCGTGTGTCCGTTGACTTGATCAACGGTGCACGCATTTGTGAATTTAGCTATGCATTTTGCGCTTTTCGAGGTTTTTAACATTTGATGCAATTTAGATGATGCCACGTATTCGGATAACGATGTTCCTCTTACTATTATTGATGATACCTAGTCTATTCAGTTTTCCCATGTAACTCCCCTTTTAGTGTGGAGTGTGCTGATGAGGATGAGCTGGTGCGCGTCTCCTTGTTGTAATGGCAGCATTAACTCAAGCAGCTCTATATACTGTTGTAGCGCAGATGTACTTTGTGAATAATAACTTTGCTTTGTTCATGTTCTCCTAAGCTAAAGACTTGATTTGTATCTTGTTAAGATCGCCATGTTTACTTGGCAAATCGTAATATTATCTGCCTTTGGTAGTCGCCTTTTTCGTATTACTGATCGAAACTATGATACAAAGCCTCTAATTTTTTGAATCCAACCGGCTATTGAACTAAAAGAAAATTTAAAAATTTGGTACGACATGGACATAGCCCGCTTTCGTGAAATGCCTACTTTTTGTATTCTCATTACAAATACCTGGAAGTTTTTGATCCAGAAGAACGAAAATAGATGAAGTTCCTCTCTTGGATGCTATTTATTTTTCCGGACAATCCGCTAATCTGTGTAAGACATCACGTTACAAAACTTGAGATTGGTCTGCGTTCCGTTTTTATACACGCATATATTCTTCATATAAACTAACATCTTTTTTCGGACCAGCTTAGCACATTTAGCTGTTGAACCCTGACTTTTGGTTTAGGTGTAACGCCGCCGAGGCCTGCACACCTGACTTCGACAATGCCTGACTTCTTCCTCCTCAGTTATGCCGCCAGCCTAGCCGCCGACCCAAGCCTTCTCGATGTGGCACTTGGTTATTTAGCTCAATGCACTGCACTTCAGTCCTCCGCTCGAGCTGTTCAAGCTTCGATTTTACAGCGAACAAAGCCTACCACTACACGTCTCACTCACAATGTAACCATTTTGAAATCCTTATTTTGTGTGCTTATACAAGTCCTTGTTGCCTTAGCCACGAACAACTCTCTAATCGTCATTTTAGGATCAACTTATGACAAGGACCAAAGGTTAACGTGGTGTTTGCACTAGAAACGCGGCAATTGATTTCGTTTATTTATTTATTTCAAGTTGCTTCTAAGTTGTCCCTTTATGTACTCTACCAAAAACATGCAACTTAACTATGATGATAGCATTGCAGTGTAACTTTTTATAGCATAACAGCCACTTTTCTTTTTTAGTTGATTCGATTGGCTAGGAAGCACCAACTTCATGAGGTGGCCAATGAGATTGCTCGCTCTAAATGTCGGGCATCGCTATCACTGTCAAGACACCCAAGTTGTTCCGCATCTTCCATGGATGTTGCAAGTATCTGTTCATCTCTTGGTTGGGCTATAGTCACCAGGGATACTCAGTTAATCTCTCGCATCATTACTTACACCCTCATGACAAGCATTTCGCGCGAGTCCTTCGATAATAAATCTTGGAGAGCGATAAAAGAGGTGGCCACGATGGTAACAGGTCTGTTTGGGAGTGATGAACAGAACTCTTCCAATGTACAAAATCACTCATGGCTTACTCTGCTTGTCTCGTCCCCCGAACTCGCGTTTATTTCTCGATATGCCGAACTACAGTGTCAACTTAATGCTTCCAGTGATACCGGGGAAATTACACGCACGCTTCTCGATTTACTTTCGACAAGTGACAACAACAGGGGCTTCCATGTGCCACTTAGGCTGAAGATTCACATGCTTAGTCTAGTGAAACCGCACTTAGACGCATCGACGATGGGAAAACATCAGGCTGAGGCTTTGGCTGCTGTCGTCACAGAGCTGAAGGCCACACTGCGGTTAGTTGGGAAAGGTTGCGAAAAAGAGGATTCCCATGCATTGCTGAGGGGTCTAAATGCACTCCTAGTTCAGGCAAGAGCTGCAGCTATTTTAAGACGAGATGAAGGCTCTGTTTGCGGACGATATTCCCCGTCGCACACGCCCAGTGAGTATGAGACTTCAGAATTTGGAGGATCCATGAACTGATCATCGTTAACATTTTTATAAAAAAATTCAACCCATCCTTTGTGTAAATAAATGCTTGAATTAATAAGTATGGATGTTATGTGTTCATTTTTCAGGGCCCCACGGACATATATAAGTTTGCCAAATGTTAGTTATTATCAAAACTTTTTGTGTCAGATAACAATGGTCTGCCTAAAAAGTAGTCCGCATATAATACCCAACAAGCAAATCCTGTCTGAAGGCATTTCACGAGCTCTAATATACTAGGTTGTAATGAATAATAGGCTCAAATTGCAGATGTGCTCAATTATGCTACAACAAACTATATTCGCAAATATCTCCGGGGTTGCAGCCCACTCAGTTTCATGCCTGAGAAAATGGTCTTGAGATACGTAGTTCCAGAACTTATCCACCAAATTAGCAGTTGGCTTGTAGGTACTCACCAATCACAATCTCACAAACACCTAACTCCCATATGGTCGAATGACAGTGTGGTGTGGTGTGGCGTCGGATCTGGGCGCAGACATGTTGGGCCACCTGGCCTAAGCCAATCCCGTGTCTCTCTGCGATCCAATGGCATGCGGAAAAGGAAGGCAGCCAACCAGAGAAGGACATGGATGAGATG